CTAACCTTAGGTATAATAATAATAGATTAACGTAATTATTTAGATAAGAATCTGTAGAATCCGGCTAATAATTCAGCACAGATTTGCACTCACACGTAGGCTTAGGACGCTTGGCCTATAGTAGATGATATAACTAAGTTAGATCTAATAATAATAATTTAGATAAGATTATAAGAATCTGTATAAAAAAAAACACTTACCTGCTGGCAAATGATTCATCAGACATCTAGTAGACCTAGTCTGCCTAGCCTGCTAGTAAAGTTCCGTTGTAAACACGCGTACTTGTAAGTTGTAACGTTATTATTAGGCCTATACATACGATTGTTAACAACCGGTTCGTGGAGGTCATTAAATTCTAAGAACAGGTTCGCACGAACCGGTGCGAACCGGCTGAATCCTACCAATGATATCTCAGATTAGCATAAGGATGCATAACTTGTCAAGTATTAGCATACTCAGGTACAACAGATTAGATATTGATTATTTCAATAATAATCAATTAATGGAAATTAGTGTTTCCAATTGTTACTAATTTCAATCATTCCAAGTATCTAAATAATCAAAACTTTGCCACTAAACTTGCTCCCCTGTCTCTGTTATGGCAAAGCTATTAAAGCTATCTGCAACTGTCACTAATGTTTAACTGCTGACTAGGTGGCAGACAAATAGTTGCCAGCACCTGCCATCAACCTTTTGTTTCTTGCTTTCTTGTACATAACATGGTTGGAGGAACACTTTAATGATCAACTGTAATTGATTAGCAAATTCCACTAATTACACAGCTCTACCCATGGTAGAATCAATCCCCTCAATTTTTAGTGTTACAAGTCCTTAAGTTTAACATAACAAAAATGACACTGATAAAATTATAAATAACATCACTGAGTGAAAAGTACAGTTGAAATTCTATTATACATCTTCTTAATGGAAACCAATTTTAGGTAAGTAAAAATGCTGTGATTTACATTGCTATCAATCTTATCAAAATGTGATAAATCATAAAACATTAGTTTCAAAACACATTTGTATACTTTAAAACTCACTGACAGATCATGATTTAAATGAATAGTTTTATGTAAGAAATAGCAGCAATTGTTGGGAGTTTCAAATTTAAAACCTCTTACCTTTCTTATCCCCAGAAGCTGTTGGTTTGTCATATATGATCACTTCTTTTTCTTTTTTATCCTTTGTTCTTTTCTGTAATATAATTTTATATTTTGAGAATTAAAATAAATTTCAAACAACTACTTAACTCTGAAATACTGAAAGCCTTTCCTTTCCTTGTTGAGTTTATAGTAATGTTGTTAACAAAACATAACTCAGAATTTCCAAATATCCTTTATGTATTTCATTAATATGCAAGTCATGTACCCACACTTCACACTTCTACCTTCCACATGATTTACTACATGTGCTTTCCTACCATAAATTAAGTTTGTTTGAAAGTTGCAGTCATGGTGAAAATTTGGTTGTGGGGATGCAGGAGGTAAGATATTTCAGAGGTAGGTACCTAGTTGAAATGCATATTAATTCTAAAAAGTTTAAAATTCAAAGAAAGCAGACTTACTTCTGAAATATTGAAAGCCAGAATACCCACATTGTAAAAGAGGTAGGAACCAAGGAAGTACAACTACAGAGCAGATACAGAAGATGTCTAGAGTCAGAGTAGAATCCAGAATGGTAAATAAATTTTTAGAACTGTAATTCAGAAAGAGTGAGTGGAGTGAACAGTCTTATAGAAAAGAAAGCCTAAAGGACATTCACAAAGAAAGTATTCTCCTCAACAGAGTACCTCTTTGTCCATTACGCCTTTGTTGATAGTGTTTTGAGAGATAATAGTATACAGCACCATGACAGCCAACAATGGGATATGGGTAGTGGCATAAACAGGCACTGTTTCTGCAGTGGAATGTTCTCAGGCGACATCCCAGACTCATATTATGAAAAGACATACTTCAAAGGCAGTAGCCCCTCTTCATATACGTCTAAAAATTGCTATGCAGTCACAACCCAGCAAAATTAATGGACACGCAGCGAGAGCTGAGAAAGATCCAAGGATGGGTGCAATAATGCAAGGACAGTACAATGGGAGAAAAAAAGACATAAAAAAGAATTAAAAATATGGATAAATCCCATATTGGTTGGAACAGGATGGGTTTGTTTGTTTTGAATTTCGCTCAAAGCTACATGAGGGCTATCTGCACTCGCTGTCCCTAATTTAGCAGTGTAAGACTAGAGGGAAGGCACCTAGTTATCACCACTCACCATCAACTCTTGGGCTACTCTTTTACTAATGAATAGTGGGATTGACCATCACATTATAACGTCCCCATGGCTGAAAGGGCGAGCATGTTTGGTGGGACAGGTAATCGAACCCACAATCCTCAGATTGCGAGTCGAGCGCCCTAACTACTTGGCTATGCCGGGCAGCAGGAAGGGATCCACTGAAGTATCATTATGCATGACACTCTAATCTATTTCCAAAGGACAACATCTTCTCATGGAGCTCCAGTATAGAGGGTGAAGTGTCAGAATAAAAATAATAATTCGGAGGTATATGAGACTTGCAGGAGTCTCAGTTTCTTTTTCTTGAAGGAGATGCAGAAAGCCCCGATCATGAAAGAGATGTATGAAAGAAAAAAAAAAAAAAAAGAGTCAAACTTGAAAAGGTTGGAGAAAGACCCAATACTGTAGGCACCAACTTCAAAAAAGAAATCAATGATCTTGTATAGATGAATGTCTGCAAGAATATGAAGACACTACAGCTACTTATAAGGAGAAGCCAGCTTCACTAACAATTGACTACAAAACAGCCAGCCATGAAACTGGAGAAGACAAATATTATTTCAAAAAATGCAACAAAAGTAATGTTATAGGATTCCTCTGAGATAGAGAAGAGGAGTGAAAAACCATGGTGGAGCAGGCCAGCCTTGGAAAGAAGAACTGGACAAAAGGACCAAGATCAATGAAAGATGTTAAGAGGATAGGCTTAATTATTTTTTCCCCTGGCCAGCTCAAAGCAGGAAACCAGTAAAGCATCAGAAAATGTTGCACCTGTCACAAATGCTTCAAGCAGAGTATGACTGAACTGCTGGTACAACCCTTGATATACCAGCTCAAGGAAAGAGATTATGTGGATGGAGCCACAAAATATATTGGGAAAACAACAAACATACTGTGAGAGTCCCACCTAGCCTGGTGATATATTCCATCAAAATCAAAGAGTCTGTAAGTACAAGAATGTAGAGAAACAAGAGCAGAATTACCCACATCTTTCAATTATAAGAATGGGATATCCAATACTGTAACAGAAGCCATCATTCTCAAGTCAGAGAGTATGTGATTGGCAAATGAAAAAGTATGCATACCCAAAATTCATGGAAATGCAAAGTCAAAGAAGACAGGTGAATAATTCAAAAGGGTGTGTTAATATAAACTTGCAGATGTATAAGACCAAGACTCATAAACAGTCCAACCCAGAGCAGAATCAAACTGGGAGGATAGTCAGTGTGGGGTAACCACTCAGCAAAAATCCTCTAATTGCCCATGCAAGGATGACAATCAATATTAAACATGTGGAGGATACCAACTAAAGGTGTGACTAAACATGTAAGCATACAGTACCTAATCAAGAGCAAAAAGTAGGGTTATACAGTGACAAATCACTCCATTTTATGAAAAATTAAGAAGGGTGAATCAGTACATGGATATGAGACGTAAAGTTCCATGTGTCATCCAAAAACTGTAACAGAGGAACTGTTACAAGATTCACAGAGGTTTAATGAGACAAAAACAAGGTATATCTAGAGAAATATGAGACTGGAAAAGTCTATGCCCAGTCTCCAATCTCCTGTTGTCTGTGGCACCACAAAGAGATAAGTCAACTTCTTGGACAACATGAAGTACAATCATGATCTCCCTATGGCACAGAAAAGATCTGAAACTTCCAGATCCAAAATTGCATAGAAGCTGGAAAAGGTAAATCATGGATGAAGAACATAAAATCAAAGTGAAGAACCTGATGAGCCAAAGACAGACAAAGCAAAGGGTCAATAGGTAAACAAAAGTCTGAGATGACCCCCCCCCCCAAAGCCCATATGAAAAATTCATCAGAACAGAGTCAATAAATAAGTCATAAGGACTCATCTCATTCATATCAATACCAGAGTACCTGAAAATTTATGTGTTTGAGTGCAAAGCTACAAATTATCCACTCCATCCTCCATTGGTAACCAAACCCAGAATTTTAGCATTGGAAGTCCTTAAAAGAATACCCCAGAAACAAGCCAAATAGCTTGCAGGGCAGAAAACTAATGATATGGTACAGAAATTTAAGAAAAGGGGAATATGAATTGTATGGATACAGAACTAGTTTCAAAGATTTTTCCCAACTACAAATTTATAAGAAAGTGTGAAAGATGAAAATTCAAGTATGGAAATCATTTCACTTAATACAAGCAACTACAGGGTGTAACTAAAATAAGTTCAATAATGAACGTATATTGAACATACTTGAGAGCAAAGGAGAGTGAGATCAGCAGGAATGTTTGGGATTAGGACTAGCACTGTAACACACAAAATCAACTCTGGAGATGTGGAAGGTAATGAGGTATGAGCATAAACAACCATCATTATATGAAAACAAATTAGAAGTGGTACGCAAGCAAAGCACCCACATAACACTGCATACAGATCAATAATATCAGGATATAATTGTAGGATGTATCAATGATGCCAACATGCATGCTAGTAGCAAATTACAAGATAAGTTCCAATGAAGGCACAAAACCTGACAAAGTTTTATGGTGAGCAAGTAGAGCTTATGTAAGATCTACCAACACATTTGCAACAAGTCACATGGAAATTTGGAAAATAAAGTTTTATGTGTGATGTATATGGTATGCAAAGAAGTAAAGAACATTCCAAAATTTTGAGACATTTACAGCATGAGTTCAAATTCAACAAGGAGATGCTTTTAGTATTACAGAGGTAAGTCTGCCTGATTTGAATACTACTTAAAAGTCCAACCAGATAAAAACTACTAACAATATTAGTACATTTGAGGAGAAAAATGGGATAGATAAAACACCTCATTACAAAACATGAAATTCTTCATTAGTTAGAAAACATAAACACCTTTCTTATAATTTTATTCCATAGTCAATTAAGTATAAAATGTTTGATTGATAATATTTTAAAAGAAATATATAAATAATATACTATCTTCATTAAGCCCTAGATAGACTAAGAAAAATGAGCAACAACAGTTGTAAATATAACAATTTAAAGAAATTAGCAGAAACTAATTTAATTTAACTAATGGCATTTTATATTGCATAGGAAACTTATATAATTTGCATTAACTATAGTAAAAGCTTGAACTTATGGTAAAGCCAATTGTATTTGACATACTGCTGTGATTCATTATTACGTTAAAAAAAAGAACTACAACAATAAAAAAAAAGACAAAAGTTTTGAAAAGGTCAAGATATACACCATAGAAGTATTAATCCCAAGAAGATTGCTCAGTTTATCTTTCCTGCAAAACTTAATAAAACCTAATTTATGAAAAAGGAAAACGTGTTTATGAGCTCTACCCATAAAATCTTGTAAACAAATATTTTATCAAACAAGCTGTGAGTAGTAAATATTGTAATATCTTATTAAAAATACTTCAATTATGATACCAAAAAACAACAACTTTCCTTTTTCATAACATGTTCATTGTTGTTAATATTGAGCTTCAGTAGTGTGCATTTATGGATTATCTCTGTATTTTCATTCATTATCCATTCTTTAAAGTTCCTTTTTTTAAATAATTTATGTATAACTTTACTAAGTGATTTACTGATTACATGTTTTGTAGAATTACAATTAATTTTAGGTCATCCCCAGAATTTAGGACCTTTGCTCCTCAGAGTCATAAAGCATAATTACGATGCTAAGGTAGGTTACTGTTGGCTAAATTGTCATTAGGAGATGAATTACATTTGATATGAGAGGAAAAAAATCATTAAAATGTTACCTAACTCTTCATTCATTACGTAATTAACATATTATTATAATTAACGATTCTAATGACAATGGTCTTCATGCAAAAATAGCTAATAGTTTAGTGTTTAATTTACAAGTGTTAAGTAGTAACTGTTGTATATAAGCATGTCTGGCTACAGATTCTAATTTATATACTTCTATAC